CATAAGTTAAGCAGGTGATGGAATAATGGTACAAAAGTGCTGAGATGCGTTTTCAGGAAGTTCATATTTAACTTGAATATATCACAGGCATGTGAGCTTTTTAAAGACTGTAATATATCCAATATATCAGTCTGTGAAATTTCTGAAAAGGAAAACATCTCAGAGGTGTCACATGATTTAGATGACTTTGGCCTATTAGAAGGCCCAGATAACAAATCCCGAACAGAAGAAACAAAGTATTCATTAAATTGGTTAGCAATTTTTTCGTGATCAGAAATAAGCACACCTTCTACTGAAATCTGTAAATTTTTGTTGAAAGTTTTGTTGTTATTTTCTCCTGTTATAGATTTAATTGTTTGCCACAATGTTTTTTGGGTTTGTTCCAGCTGAAATAATTTGCCTTTCAAAATACTGTTGTTTAGCTTTACGTAATTCAGCAGTGCATTTATTTCGATAATGATTAAAATGCAACTTATTTTCAGGTGTTTTTGATAGTCTATAAGTTTTCAGAGAGGAGGCTTTCAGCTTTAAGAAGTGTATTATTGAAGCGTTCAACCATGGTATTTTATTTTGTCGGATTGGAATTTTACAAGTTGAGATATATTTTTGCTGTATTTTCTCTAATTTATTGTAGAAATTTGTTAAAATATGATTAGGATTGACAAATGAATGTCTTCACTCCAATCAGTATTTTTAATTTCCGCATTTAACATAGTTTGTTTTGAGTGTGGAATCTTTTTATGTAAATTATGTACATGATATGTTGTTTGCTTAAGATTTTTTCTAATGACAAAAATTAGTGAATGATCTGAAACTGACGTATTTATGACTCCAGATATACCATATATGGAAGGACGATTTATAAATATAAGATCTAAAATGGAGTTGCATGTTTTACCAAATCTAGTCGGCGCCTTAATTAGTTGTTGGAGCTCCAGCTTTGTGGCCATGGTTTTTAGGGACTGGGAAGCTTTATCTGCCCAATTTATATTTATATCCCCAAGAATCACAAGCTCCTTGGATTTGATACCTTTTATGACATCAGTAAGCTGCGATTGATTCTGATGTGAAGCCGGTTGTATTGTTCTATCATTATTGATTCTGATGTGAAGCCGGTTGTATTGTTCTATCATTATTGATTCTGATGTGAAGCCGGTTGGATCATTATTGATTCTGATGTGAAGCCGGTTGGATCATTATTGATTCTGATGTGAAGCCGGTTGGATCATTATTGATTCTGATGTGAAGCCGGTTGTATAATTATTGATTCTGATGTGAAGCTGGTTGTATCATTATTGATTATGATGTGAAGCCGGTTGTATCATTCTATCATTATTGATTCTGATGTGAAGCCGGTTGGATCATTATTGA